AGGAGCTACCGTATTTTTTGCTCTATAAGACTCACTTTTTCCCTCCTAAAAAGTAAGGGGAAATGTGTGTGCATCTTATGGAGCGAATGCAGGCTGCGCAGCTATCCCAGAAACCAGAACAGCAAGAGGGATTGCTGCTTTCACTGCGCAGCAATTCCTCTTGCTGTTCTGACTTCTGAGATTCAGAATATTTTTTTTCTTGTTTTCCTCCTCCAAAAACTAGGTGCGTCTTGTGGTCTGGTGCGTCTTATAGAGCAAAAAATACAGTAGGTTGTCCACACGCAAGCAAAAGGGCATAGCTTCTTCTTCTTCTTCTTTTCTTTTATCTTTTATAAATCTTTTTACCGGTAATTGAATTTTACATTGCAAATTTTAATTCAAACAATCATCATCATCATTTAGGATTCCCTGCATCCTTTTACTCCCCTCCACCCTTCCATGGTTACCATTTTCAATCTTTTTCCACTACTTCACTTATTTTCTCTATTTTTCTTACATAATCCAATTTTACCTTAGTTTTCAGTACATTACAAACGTTATTCAAATCCCACCAAAGTTTTTAGTTGTTTACAGTGTTCTCTTAAGTACATTGTCAATTTTCCCCATTCCTTCTTACAGTTCTTCTCTTCCTGGTTTCTGATTTTCCCAGTCAATTTCGCCATTTCGGCGTAGTCCATCATCTTCATCAGCCATTCATCTCTGGTTGGGACTTTATCTTCTTTCCATTTCTGGGCCAATAGTATCCAGAGGCCTTTTTGTTAGGAATTTTAGGTGCGGAGATACCAAAGGAGCAGAGACGATTATTTATGTATGCGACGACAGCAGCACGGATACTACTAGCTTCTTCATACAGCAAAGCAAAATACATAAATCACCTGACTGGCAGGTAGCCAGTACCCAAAACATCGCAGATATCCCTCTCTCTGGCCTCGGAACCCAGTATCCCAAGCCCAAAAGGGTACCCTCAAACCAAGCTGAACATAGACCTTGGCTACAACCGCTACCAGTTGATTGTGGGGTCATCTTGAGTGCCAAGCTAGCGCTATCAGAGCTTCCGGAGCAGCTCACATTTGGTTCAACACACCTGTCCACTTTTGCCTTTGGAACCACCAATCACTTGCACATGGCTCCTGGAAGGCTGCCAAGGATGGTATGAGTCCCTCCTTCTGGAATAAGTCCCCCCTTGTGTTATGTGACAGACCAGGAGTGGAGAGGCCTGTTCAAATCCCCACTCAGCCCTGAAACTTGTTGGAATGACCTTGTGGCAGCCACCATCTCTCAGGTCCAACCACCTCGCAGGGCTGTTGTGAGGATCATATGAGGAGGACAAAGATCTGCGTCTACTGTCTTGACTCTGCAATTCAGCTTTCACTCACATGGGACTAAAGCGATGGATATTTTGTCAACAGGTTCTCCTGTAACCACTACCACAATAGTGCTAGTACTATTACTACTAGAAATAGCAATATATGTCATCCATATCGTACTTTAGAACATACCACATATATTATCTCAGCAGTGCTCACCACCGTATAATCCCCTTGGCTTCTAGAATACCTCTAGCTTGGCCTCAAGTATTGGCTAAAGCCAAATCTGAGGCACACTTGGGACGTCATGATTGTTGAAAACATCTGGGGAATTTCAAAGCAAGCCAAACAAGTTTTGATAAGACCAGCAAAATTCCTCAGCTGTCTCCCCTCACCATCTTCACACTTCTAGGTTCCCAAAGAGGTTCCTACTTCGGGGGTGGGGTGGGGGGAGAGAGTAATTTAAAGTGGAGCTAGAAGAGTTTCAGTACGACTAATTAAATTTCTCAAGAGGGTTTTTCAGTCTCAAAAATATATTCCCTGGCCATGGAAAAATCCCTCTGAGCATATGCAGGGTATTTTTATATGAATGGTGAGAACGAGCAAAGAATGTAGAAGGGAAGCTATTGGTAAAATATTAGTTTATTTGAGGAGGCAGCACCAATTCAGACTGTGGAGCACTATTATTAACTAAACTTTCACTCACAGAGGAGTAATGAGATCAGTGCTTCTGAGCTTTCCCAGGTTATTTTTACTTCAATTGTTTAGCCAAGTAATAACAGCAAGCTGAGTTGTGCTTTCTAACAGTCCTATGCAAGTCCATTTAGAAGAAAGTACCATACCCTTAGTGGTGGTTATTCCTGGTTATTCCTTGAAGGTTGTTGGGCGGCCTCTACTGACCCCTTGGGAGATTTATTTCAGGAGATTCTGGAGAAGGATTCTTAGATTGCAAGCCTGAGATCAGGGGCTGTCTTACTACTGATCTTTGTCAGTAGGTTTGAGAGCTTTTTTGGCTTTAAATAAATCATTGCCTTCTCTTATTTGCAGTATATACCAACTTTCATTTTGAAAAAAGACCTTGTCTTTTTTTAAAGAGATGTCAACAGCTCTATACTTGAGTATAGAGCCTTGAATTGAGCCTTGTGGATGGCACACAGGGGCTGACTGTAGTGTTTTCAAACATTAGCTTTAGCTTCCAGACAAACTTCACGGACAGCCCGATGTCTGGACATATTACAACATAGGTTACTTACACGAAGCTATCCCAGTTCAGAAATTATTGTAGCTAGTGCATCAGCTGAAGCTGGGAATAAACATTCCTTGCCACTGAAGCTAAGTGGGCTTATAGTGAAAGCTTCGACCATATGCATGCTTCTTATATCTCCCATTCACAACAGGAGATCTCACAATTTTATTTCTAAATAAAATTGCATAACTATTTAGCCAAGCTATTTGGATGAGTGGGCAACAGGTTATACCTGATAAGCTGATAACAACAGCTCATGGAAAAAAGTTCCTGAAAATCAGGGAGCTAGAAAATTAAAAACAGAGAATCAGCATTAAAAGAGCTGCCATTTGGCTCATTTGTCTTAAATTTATGAAACCGATAAGACTTTTACGGCCTCTGCATTTGGGTGCTCTCAGTCAGAGCCATCATAGAATCAATGACGGAGAAAGGCAATACATAAAGCTTTTGAATATAAATGAAAACAAAACAAAACACCATCAGCCCGATTTACAGACTCCTGTGCTCCTCGCTACTGTTTTGAATTTACTGTATTTTTCGCTCCATAAGACGCACTTTTTCCCTCCTAAAATGTAAGGGGAAATGTGTGTGCGTCTTATGGAGCGAATGCAGGGGGGAGGCAGGCAGGAAAAGCCCCCTCAGCTCTTGCGGGCTTTTCCCCAGGAGGGAGAAGGGACTGACTGACCGCTTCAGTCCCTTCTCCGTTCTCGTAGAAAAGCCCGCAGGAGCCGCACTCTCCTTGAAGGGTGCGTGGCTCCTGTGGGTTTTTGCGGGAGGTGGGGGAACCAGGTTTCCCCCCCCCAGCCCCAAAGAGTAGCGGACAGGCTACTCCCCAAAATGTGGGCTTTTGTGGGAGGTGGGGGAATTCCTTATGGAGCGAAAAATACAGTATTTCCAGCCACGTGAAAACCATTGAGGGTTTAAAAGGGGGTATTATCTACCATACAGAATAAACTGGTTTCACAACAGTTTCCACTCCCTGTGGGTGGAAGTTCCAGATGGTTGTTTGTTGTGTGATGGGTGCTCCTCACGCACTTACGTTTTTCACATAATCACTGGCATCAGAATGTCAGCCCTCGTTCTTCCCAGTTTAATGGATTGATCCCTTCCATGGAAACTGCAGCAAGTTTGTTTAAAACAAGACACCAGCCAGCTGCCAACGACCCATTTGTGATACCCATTTGCAATATTTAGCACACACTTCCACACTGGAAGCAACTAAAACAAGGCCAGCCCCATCGCATTCTGTCACCCGAGGCGAACCACTAAATGGCATTCCTTCACTAGGGCTGTGAGATGTCATGGAGGACGGGGCTGCTGAACAGATGGCAGATCTGACTTCCAAGAAGTGAGCCTCAGCTGTCACTGACACTGTGGCAGTGAGTGATGCATTCCTCAGAGGCCAGATCTGCTAAACCCTGTGGATTCTGCTGCCCCCGGCTGTCAACCTCAACTTGCCACATGACCTAAAAGGTAACTGTAGTTCTGTGGAGAGGAGTGAGACAGGGACCTCTTTTTCTGCACCCTCGCCAAATTAAAATGACCTAACACATAACACCAGTCCTGAAAGACTTACATTGGCTCCCAGTACATTTCCGAGCACAATTCAAAGTGTTGGTGCTGACCTTTAAAGCCCTAAACGACCTCGGTGGAGTAGACCTGAAGGAGCATCTCCACCCCATTGTTCAGCTCAGACACTGAGGTCCAGCTCTGAGGGCCTTCTGGCAGTTCCCTCACTGCAAGACGTGAGGTTACAGGAACCAGGCAGAGGGCCTTCTTGGTAGTGGCACCCGCCCTGTGAAACACCCTCCCATCAAATGTCAAGGAAATAAACAACTGTCTGACTCTTAGAAGACATTTGAAGGCAGTCCTGTTTAGGAAAGTTTTTAATGTTTAAGGTTTTATTGTATTTTTAATATTTTGTTGGAAGCCGCCCAGAGTAGCTGGGGAAACCCAGCCCGAAGGACAAGGTATAAATAATAAATTGTGATGATGATGATATTCTTTGAGGGATGCCACAACAGTTAATTAATGTGAAACTGTTAATAGCATGTAAGATATGTCCTTATTGCCAAGTGGTTTAAGGAAACACACGAACGTTCTACATAATTGAGTTAGCTTCTGGTAGGGATCCTAGGACAATTTGCACCTTGTAAACAATTGATTTGAAATACCTTGAAGCAAAAAAGGACTGATTTCCCCCCATGGACTGTTCTAATGTATCACACCAAGTTTTCATTTTCTCAGTATTTTGCTGGGATTTTAGTTATATGAATGGACTGCCCATCCTATTTAGAGGGCATGTTTATGGAGACAGGGTGTTGCTTGCAGACGGGATGAAAGTGTTAATTTCACACATATATTCCAGTGCATTGCTAAATTTCTTTCTGTAAGTATGAGTATAAGTTCTAGTTCCCCACCTGTTCCAAAGAAAGTCATGCCAGTGATTTCATTCTAAATTAACTTTTAATAAGCTTTCATATTTCAGTGTAGTACAAAATGGAGATGCATCTTGGGGAGGAGGAAAGGTTTTTCATTGCAGCATTTTTCATATAACTGATTGATAATTTCTCATTTAGAAAAATTGGCACTTTTTTTATTATGCATATAGCCGTGATAACTTCAGCAATATATACAAACTAACCTTTTGGCACATATACATACAGGTATTTTACAGATAATAAATAAGAACATTTAAAGCCTAGTTTTATTTTCTCACATATAAAATACTTCACCATTTGATGATCAAATGCTGTTATTTATATTTGATTTTGCCTTTAAATGTGCAATTCATAATACATTTATAGATACTGAACCCTCACTTTTCAGGAATTTGAAAATGGAAGTATGAACTTTCGTCAAGAAGAAACACTGCCTCATCTTTATAGATCTCCTTCAGTACTTAGTTATCAAACTCAAAATTATCATGCCTACACCATAGTTCATCAGGGCATAGAAATCATTTTTGAGCCAGCTAAACTATTATAAATTCTTTTTTAAAAAGAATGTTCTTGAAGGATGCAGTTTGTTGTGTTAGACTGGGTTACGTGCGTACTGGACCACAGTTTTGTCGCCACACACAGGATTTTGGTAACAATTTATTTGTGACATGTTTTTGCTCAAACAATGAATATTAAATGTCAGATAGCCCCTCGGAACAAGAGATAGAAGGTCAGTACATATATATTTCCAGGTATGCTTTTCCCGGTATCCTCATAAAACAGCTTTTTGTTTTAACTGAGTTATCAGCTACAAAACTGAAATGATTACTAAAGTATTTTGAGCATTCTAGTAAATACTTCTCAGGGCCCCTTTGTTTTATAGCTTGTCCATGTGTCCATGACTTTCTGATTCAAAGGGTGTAACGCTTGTGCATAATATGAAAGTGTGCATATTCTAAAAGTGTGCAATACTGCTTTTTGTTAAAACCTGCATGATTTCAGACAAACACTGTTATTCAAGGTTCTGCTGTTCTTCATATTGCTGAGCAACAAAAGAGGTTCCATCCCCAAATTTAAGTATACCAGAAACAAAGAGGTGTTTGTCCTTTATCCTAGTCCTAGGAACAATGATCGCAGCTGTAACAATTGCTCAAGACTAGTTGTCAAATTGAAATTGATAACGGAAATAGTGTTCCTGCAATCTTTTAACACACCGTTACTGCTATTTACTAATTGCTTGGTACAGTGCCAGAGAGTGCATATGTTTTTATACAGATGCACTGCATTCTTGTTTAAAAAAATGAAGATAGGACATTTAAAAAAATGCTAGCTTCTTCTCTGGAAAATTTATTATCCTATTTAAAAAGTAAGTGTTCAATAAGTAATACCTAAGTGTACATAAGTGCTGACCAACTGCAGAGACTTCACCATGCAGTCTTTCAGTCATGCTCAGGGTTGGAGGAGAAATGTATATAACAGGAATATGTTAAGTGAGAACTCTATCTATTGCCCTCCCCCTTCAAGTGAAATTATTGCATTTCAGTCAAAGGATGCAACACTGAATGAATGACCTGAATGGAAATTGTCCAGCATAATGTTCAAGTGATCATTAAAAAAACCTATAAAAATACAAACTCATCAACTGAAGTATCTAGCCTTTCAATAAATAGTTTTGGGTTTTTTTACACACAGTACATTATAAAAAAGTGAGAAACTTTGTAACAGGGTGGTGTGACAATTATGGTAGTTTGCTCTCAATGCAATGTGAGAGGCTTCTTTTAAAAAAGAACAGTTGGCTAGTGTGCACTCTTTTGCATACTGAGATGTAACAAAAATGCTCTGACCCAGAGAAGGGCATCCCCATATTTTACAGTAGGCTTCTGCACGCATATCATTTGCTGGATCGGGAATACAGTGAAGATTTGAATTCTCGTTGAAAATGTTGTCTGTTGCACTGCATTCATTTCAGTTGGGTGTGCGTTCAACTGGGCAACCCCAACTGCATTCTGGTGCAACCAGTCTAGAGCCTGGGTTGGGCGAGAGTCTCTTAGAGCAACGAAGAAAGTAGACAGCATTGCAGAAGACCGATAAATATTTCAATGGGTTCAGCCCCCGAACAGCCAACATATTGGCTCTTTCCCTGAATGGAACTTCTTCACCCACTTGCTAGTCTTCGAGGAACTCAAGCGCTGATATTTATTTCGTGACTTGACCTGGTCTCTAAAAAGAAAACAATGGGGTGGCAAAGAAAGAGGAACATGAGATCCATGGGCACAGCAGGATTGAACTTGGGGGTGGAGGTGGGAACTGCTGACAGAAGGCAGAAGAGGGGGCAGTTAAAATAGCTTGTCGGCATGAGCCCACCAGGGTTCAGTATTGCGGGATGTGAAACACAAGAGCAGTCAAGTACAACATCCCTAGAGTGGACATCAAAGCGGATGTCTAGACCAGCCAGTCGGAACTTCCTGTTTCTCCTAGGCTGGGACAGACTTCCTCTGCATGTGACTAGAGTTAGGTGTGACCTCACCTGCAAAGGTAACCAAAGAGCAGGACTGGTCAGCCATCTCTCTCTCTGTGACCACATTCGTCTTTGCTTCCAGCCAAGAGAGGACAAAGGAGCTGTCTCCTTATGGGATGGTTTCCAGGTGTATATTACTTTTGTAACTTAGGTCTGCCTTCTGGGATCCATTTGTGAACAGAATGTGTGAGTAAACTCTCTTTATACTTTTACAGAAGACTGTGTCACGTCCTTTTTGTGAGGGACTAAATGGGGAATTTAGTCCCTCACAAAAAGGAAACGTATTTTAGAGGCTTTAGCGAGCCTGAGCAAATGCATCCGCTGTGCAAGTTTAAAAGGGGGAATGTTACTCAGCTAAATTGTAGAACTTGTTAACAGAAGTTGGAAAGGGTATAATCAAACAATATATCCTCCCCTGATTCCCTGAACATTCCCACAAGTATTTGGTGGTTTGTGCTTTTTTTTCTCCCCCTCAGAATGCAGAGCATATGTTTGAATTATATCCCATGGAGGACGCCTGCACACAATCAGAGAGAAGCATTATGTTTGACTTTCTCTACAGCAGGTTACGTACAGAATGAGGAGAACCCTGCAGTATGTGCCGTCAGTGGACTGGGGGGGTCTAGGCTAGCCCCTTAAATGTTCCTCTGGCACCTCCTTCCCAAAGCCCAGGAAGCTTCTGCCTGGCTTAGGGAGAGGAGCACGCTGCTCCAATGGGTCCAAAAGCCCTCCTTCCACCTTCCCAAAGCCAGGTAGCTTTGGGAAAGAGGCAGCAGAGCTCCAGCATCCTGTCAGAGGCCTGACACCTCCTTCCCAAACCCCAGAAAGTTTCTGCCCAGCTTAGGGAGAGGGGCACGATGCTCACACACACACACCAACCCAATCGCTCTCAAGGTGGCACCTCTGCCCCTAACTGGCTCTCTGTCACTGAGGTACAGTCTAGCAAGAGTGCATCACCTGATGTTGCTTATAATGGAACTTGGCTCTTAATCACCATTTAGGAAGAGCAGGCATGGGTTGGATTCTACAGTGACCTGTGTGGTGGGATGGAGCTGCTGCACTCAAGATACTAACCTTGCTAACTAACAATGCCTCTGCTGCAGCTTGCCTGAATCAGACTGAGATGGGGCAGGGCAGCGATGACGTAAGGGCTGTGAGGGCGCACCGGCAGAAGTGATGCTGGATCATGTCCGCCACTGTTCCTGTGCAGTTCCAAACCCACCACTGCCCTACCCCACCCACTGTGAGAAAGGTGGTGGCAACTCATCACTCGTGACCGAGTTCTCAGTGATGCAGCTGCAAAGTTCTTACCATGAATCGTGATCAACGGAGTTTTTTCCAAGGCATCTCACGAATTCCACAGCTCCGCCTCCTTTTTTGAGGTAAGAGAATCCATCGCGAGAGCAGAACACCAACCTGCAGAGTACACAGAATATTACCATAGCTCTTTCCCGAAACAGCTATTAATACACCATCCTAAATGCAACGTCTTATTCTCTTGTTATTTAATCTGTTTCTTACACTGGAAAAGTCTTCTGAGTAGTGGCATTTTATAATTGAGATAGAAGAAATAAAGTAACATGTTAACCTATGATGAAATTATACATATGGCACTTTCAATTATTCCAGAGACGCAAGTTCTGCTTACAAACCACAAAGATTTTGCGGCATGGACCTGGTCCGTATTTTGTAAAACATTTAATACTGCAAATTTCCATTGTATAGAGCAGAGTATTACAATTATATACTCCCACTGAAGTCTGATCTTTAGCAGAAGACTAAATTAGAAAAACACTGGGGGGGGAATGTTGCTTGCTGATTATCCTATTGACACTGTCAGCAAACCTATATGGTAAAACTTTTACTGGACCATACCACAGCATTTCCTCCTTGCTTTCTGCACAATGTATTGATGATTCCTTGCACTCTAGAGGACAGGAAGCCCACCTCTATGCTCTCTCTGGGACTATATGGAACTACCTTATATCAAGACAGTCCATTGGCTAATCGAGCTCAATATTGTCTACTGATTGGGAGACACTCTACAGCAGGGGTCAGCAAACTTTTCAGCAGGGGGCCGGTTCACTGTCCCTCAGACCTTGTGGGGGGGTCGGGCTATATTTTGGGGAAAGAAATGAACCCCCACAAATAACCCAAAGATGCATTTTAAATAAAAGCACAAATTCTACTCGTGTAAAAACATGCTGATTCCTGGATTGTCCGTGGGCCAGATTTAGAAGGTAATTGGGCCAGATCCAGCCCCCGGGCCTTAGTTTGCCAACCCATGGTCTAAAGTGTCCAGAGAGCGCCAAGTATTCTGCTCACTGAATGGGCTGTTCCTCTCCATCCTTCAGCATCCCCAAAGCAGCTTATCACAAGAGTCAGAGCACCCTCAAACAATGTGGGATATGGTGTGGCAAGCTGCTGGTGGTGAGGGGAGTCAGCCTCCCTTGCATGAGAAGAACTGCCTTTCTCTCACATGGTGCACCTCGTGGTGCCAAGGTCTCTCTCAACTCTGCTAGTAGAGATGTTTTAACTCAAGTCTGGTGGACCCGTGGAACTCAGATATTGCTGGACTATAAATCCCATGTTCCCTGACCATGGGCCATGCTAGAGGGCCACAGGTTCACCAGCCCTGCCTGAACACATCTGGGTTTCCCATCTACAGAAAATTTCAGCATACCACTTTCATAGAGAATTAATAGATGGCAACTAGTCCTAGATGAAAGCAAAATGCGCTGCAAGGTAAATGACACACACACAGAGAGAGAGAGAGAGAGAGTCATAAGGCACAATCCATTCTCTTACTTTTTCTGGGTTTCTCCAGCCTTGACTCTGACTTTTTGGATGCCAAACTCAGGAGTACCCCACCAATCGGCCCAGTCGAGAAATGAGCCTTTCTCCCACTGGATTTTGACAATGAGCAAGTCCCCAATGTCAACTTCTGTGTATATCAGGAACGAATGGGTTTTGTTTGTGGAGATCTCAGGCCTGTTAAAAAAGAAAATCTATGCTTAGGCAATACGTCTCTGAAACATAAGAATTCAGTTATCTGAGAATGCAGTTGTTTCTTAAATGAGGAAACATGGAAAGGACTAAGGCGCTGGCTCATAGGACATAGCACACATCGTATCAAACACGTATAGGAGCAAAGATGTGCCACTAAATAATCAATTCCACCCACTATGTCAATCCTTATTGCAGCAACCACGCAGGCACACTAGAGAAAATAATAATAATTTATTATTTATACCCCGCCCATCTGGCTGGGTTTCCCCAGCCACTCTGGGCGGCTTCCAACAAAACACTAAAATACAATAACCTATTAAACATTAAAAGCTTCCCTAAATAGGGCTGCATTCAGATGTCTTCTAAAAGTTTGGTAGTTATTTTTCTCTTTGACATTTGGTGGGAGGGCGTTCCACAGGGCGGGTGCCACTACCGAGAAGGCCCTCTGCCTGGTTCCCTGTAACTTGGCTTCTCGCAGCGAGGGAACCGCCAGAAGGCCCTCGGCGCTGGACCTTGGTGTCCAGGCAGAACGATGGAGGTGGAGATGCTCCTTCAGGTATACTGGACCGAGGCCATTTAGGGCTTTAAAGGTCAGCACCAACACTTTGAATTGTGCTCGGAAATGTACTGGGAGCCAGTGTAGGTCTTTCAAGACCGGTGTTATATGGTCTCGGCGGCCACTCCCAGTCACCAGTCTAGCTGCCGCATTCTGGATTAGTTGTAGTTTCCGGGTCACCTTCAAAGGTAGCCCCACATAGAGTGCATAGAGAGCCCCACATAGAGAGAAAGTAGGACAGTGGCTTGCAACATACCAAGCTGAGACAACTCAAAACGAGAGCAAGAAGTAGAGACAGAACACATTGTTCATTAGCATTATTAGACTACGTCTCACATGGGAGAAGGAAGTTCAGATTTAATTTTAAATCTGTGGTGGACTTAGGTGCCACTAACTGTCTCGTGACTGTAATCTTTGTACACAAAGATACGATTAGAGGAACTCAGCAATAACAATTCAGTTATCTATGAGATTAAGTCACGAGACATAAAGGCATAAAAATACAGCGCCTATTGAAGCTGAACTCTTCATTTTATTTTATTTTAAAGTGAATGGGTGGAGATCTGCATACACAACTCATAGCTTTATCATTTACAAAACACAACTCCTAAGTAATTTGAAGCTTTTGCCATACCTGGTCAGTTGAGTCCCACAATACAGAAAGAGGCAAAGTGATTTTACTCTCTGCCCTGCGTAGCTGCTTAGCTCTTTAACTATTTCTCAAACCGGATGGCTGCCTTTGTATGCGGAAGTGTTTTGAGGTGTGTGTTTTGGACTCGGCCAACCTACAAGATGCAGACTGAGAAGCAAGCCTCTGCATGACTGATTGATTATAGAGTCTCTGCATAACTCTGTGTGTCTGTCTGTATGTCCATACATTTAACATTTTTCTACTACCCAAAAGAAATGCAGTTGTTTGTCAATACTCACAGTGAAATTGCAATATTCTCACTTTCATCCTTCGTGCCATAGAAAGAGAGACGGAATTGCTGGTCTTTCTTGGTTGTATTCACCTTTGCGAAAAAATGGATCTTGACTTGGTAATGATAGACTAAGGAACAAAAAGAGAGACAAGCAACAGATGAAAAACCTAAATTCAATTATTTTTAATTTGAGTTAGAAGCCACTACTTTTATTCAAGCATATCAATACTTCTGCATCCAAGTCATAAAGTCAGTTTTGTAAGATTTATTCGCCATCAGTTAACAAAAGATCATAAAATCCATTGATAATCAGCTTCTGTATCATGTGATGGAAAGGTGGGGTATAAGTTTAACAAATAAATCAATTTATACCCAATCATAGAATTTTATCTGATTATCTCATATCTGCAAACAATGCTTTTTTTTGCATTGTGACTGGATTCTCAACAATAATGGAATGAAGTAACAATGTCAATCAGTCAGTCAATTTATTATACATAGCCAAAGGCCTTTATAATGTACAGCTGAGGACAAAGCTTTCCTCTGAAATTGCATGACATACCCTATTAAAGTCTACAGCGTAAAAAGTTTACAGCATAAAATTTTTAAATTAGAGAGCATTAACATGTCTGGAACGGAGCTTCTTAGCTGCCAGAGCAAATTTGGCTACCAGGGGTATCATCTGTAGATCTTTATCACAGTTTGACTGCCACTTCCTAGGGGGATTGGCCCTATATTGTATACAGTGGGGGCAAATTAGCAGGTAGCACATGATATGCTCAACCTGATTGCATCCATAAATGCATTTGCGTTCCATATTGGGAATTCCCTGGTACCATGTGATGGTATGGCTAGATTGATTCCAGCTGTTATCAAGGGGAGACCCAACTCAGTTCAGAGGTGGGCCACCCGCAAAATTAACAATGTCAGATCCAGACAAAACAGCTGGTACGGCCGCATCCTGCTTCTCTCCTTACTCGGAGAAAGAGAAGCATGATTCAGGTGGAAGGTTCCTGCACAAGCTCCTTTGAATAAGTAGTACCTATGCAAGAGAGCTACCAGGCTTTTCCATCATTCTCTTTAAATTATTTATATTCACACACAAAAAACCCTCAGAGATTAGAATAGAGAAAGTCACCACTTTTACCTTTGTAAGGCATTTGACTTCGAGTCTTCAGATACATCTTGGTTCCCCTCTTGCTTCTTACTCTGTTGGCTTTGTAGCCCAAGTTGTTGCAGCGGTTCTTTCTGCAGCTCAAGCAGAGCCCTTTGTCAAAGGCTTCTTTTGAGTTGCAGCGATAGGCCATGATTGGTTTCTCCTCGTACAAGAGGGAATCGATGAAGAGGTGAATGGAGCGTTCATGGGAGCATTTCAGTAGCTGATCTGCGTCTTTAAGGAAAAGGAAGCCATTATGTTACGGATGCATAGCTTACAGGTGCATGCCCTTTGTTAAACAACATATACAATATATGCAGTAAATGGCCTCCGGTTTTGACTTTATGGAGGCCAAAATCAGCAAGTTTTAATGACGCAGATTCCCCCCCCCCCCCCCCGAAAAGTTTATCCTGGCTGCTGCTTTCTCAGTGCTACCCCTCCCACCCTCACTTTAGTCACATCAGTCATCTCCCTCCAATAAGGAAGAAGACAACACACAGTGCATCCAATCAATGGAGAATCCATTCTGGGGGCCTTGAAGCTTGAACTGTTATGGGGGCCAGTTTGTAACCAGTAAGAAAGGTCTGGGTAACCAACTGTTTTCTTCAACGGGGTTCTTCACAACAACCTTTAAAACATCTGTACTACTGACCCTCAGACTTTGGGATTGTTGAAATTCACACAACAAAAAATGAAATCAATTTGAGTTTTGCAACTCAAACCATGTCTACCTTAAGTAAACTAAAGTAGCTTCGGGGGGGGGCCCTCTGGGATTATGGGCCCTGAAGCTTTTCAGCTTCAATAGTTTCATAGTAGATCCCACTCTGCATCCCATAATGCTGAAAAACTCTGTAACCAATCAGATTCGGCTGCATGACAATATCATTCTGGTCTAACCAAAGTCAAGTCAAATGAAGTCAATGCAAACGAGCAAAAACTTTTAGAATGAGGTCTGACAAAGTGTTACAGCGTGGAGATGATTTTGGCACTTCTGAAAATGCCATTGAAGAAATATGATTTTTCTGCTCGTTCCAATGTAAGGATTTTCACTATAGATAAGAAGAAATAACCACTGTAATAGGGACGAGCATGAAGATTAATTCTCACATATATATGATATAGGTTAAATACTGTCATCTTGAAGCCTATAGTTGATTAAGCTATCATAAATTAAAAATGAGTGTTTCTGACACATTTAAGAATGATGCATTCTGTGACACTGTTGATTGTATTTTACTTGTAAAATATTGTGGGTCAAGTCCCCATTTGCAGCGGATATGCTGGACCTACCATCCAACATAAAAATAAGCAGCTCTCTAATGCATAACACCTCTGGAGAATATTGAGTGTTTTCTTAACCATTCATCCACTGCATCTCTTGAATTCCCCAGTTGAGAATTGATAATGTGATTGGGAAACTAACAAAAAAAAATCTAGCTAAACTTGGAATAAGCCTGAATTCAAACAAGAAAAAGTATAAAATTAATGGATGTTTCTGCGAAGGATCTGAAAAAAGGGAAGCAAGTTTTCAGAAGTAGCACACATGAACACAATTAACCACTAGCTTTCGGTCATATTTATGCCTTTATTAAATCAGACTTGAAAACTCACCTTGAAGTCCTCCTTCTGCAATCAGGAGCAGGGCTTGCGCGACGTTGCAACCAGGTTGGAAGATACCTCCATTAGGGTAGATATCAACATGCCCAACAGGTTTCTGTATTCCAATGCTGCGATCTGGGGACCCCCTTGTGAAAGTGTGCAAGACATCTACAAAGACAGCGTCATCTGGGGAAAGGCGTACGGATGCCTCAGCATATTCAAAGTTAGGGCCAGCAGGATCTAAACCTTAGGAGGGAAGAAAACTGTTAGAAATCCCTGTAAGTACGATGCTTTTGTAAGGCACATTGTCTAAAGCAGAGCTTCCCAAATTTCTCATGTTGGTGATACCCTTTTTTAAAGACATACATCATTTTGTGACACAGTAATTCAGTTTTACTAGCAAACCAGAAGTTAAACTAACCCCTTTGCAGCCGCAGGAGGAGTGCAGGGAGCGTTCACATGACACACCTACATACTGCAGCCAGCACACTAACGTGTCGCAACACACAATTTGGAAAACTCTGGTCTAAAAGAATGAATATTAGTGGTAGAGTTCCATAGGCTGGATTCACCTAACCTTGCATTCTAGCAGAAGCCAGCACAAGGTCTCCCGCTAGCCACATTACATGTTGTATTGTCCCATCTATTCGGCCTTCAGGGATGCGATGTTACAAATTATTCCCAAATCAATAGTCAACTCTGAGGACCAAGTAAAGTGTTTACTGGTGGACGCTGATCCACGGATTTCTCACGTGGTAGCGGTCTTTGTGGTGAAGGCTATGAAAACTAGGGTACGGTTCCTGGAGGAAACAGTGAGGTCCCTCCCATTGCTCTCTTAACCCGTTGCTGTATCTTCTTTCCTGAATGGTGGGGTTTTTTGGGTAGTTTCCTTGCTGGGACAGCATGGCATGAATTTTAGCTTACTTTTATAATTTTATTGTCTATCTTTCAATAATGTTTTATGGTATTTTGTGTAAAGGCATGGACCTCACAAATTTAATAAACTTGAACTTGAAGTGTCTCCCGCTAGCACAACGGGCCTTTGCCCCCTCTCTTTCCGCAAATTCACTCTACAGGATTGGAAGAACCCTAGTGGGAGGACAGGGGAGATTTGTTTTGTCAGGAAAGTAGAAATACTTGTACCAATGGATTGGTGTAACATTGAATTCCTCCCCCTTTCTCATTCAGTTCAATGGCAAAATTCCCATGGATATAAATAGCTCTCAACTGCACCTGCGCCTGCCCTGTGGAACGCCCTCCCATCAGATGTCAAGGAAATGAACAACTATCTGACTTTTAGAAGACATCTGAAGGCAGCCCTGTTAGGGAAGTTTTAAATATTTGATGTTTTATTCTGTTTTTAATCTGTTGGGAGCCGCCCAAAATGACTGGGGAAACCTAGCCGGATGGGCCGGGTATAAATAATAAATGATGATGATGATGATGATGATGATGATGCTAGAAACAGACTCCTATAACTATTAGCACTACTTCCCATTTCAGAAAGGTTGTAAAGCCCTTATGTAACATTTTAATGACTCTTTCCTGGTTTTGTTCTGAGGATAATTCATTTTGTAACATGGAAGGAACCACTGCATTCAACCTTTCCTTTTTTAACTCAATGGCATCAATATTTGCTTACCAGTAATTCTGTTAATCTTATTAGTGGTCAGACTCCCAGCAATGCCAGCAACATGGGCACCAAGGCTGTATCCCAGCAAATGGACTTTGTTCAGTGAGTAACTGAATTGCTCCTATGAAAAAAATCATATTAAAAAGATTACGCTCTAAATCTATAGTTTTTATCTTGCTTGACACTGAACAGCCGATGAACTGATTTGTGACAGGGGCCAGCCTGGCACTTGGGCTGCTCCCAGACTACACACACACACCCAAGTCATGCCCAGCACTGCTTTGCACCTTCATTGAGTGCTTTTGCCTGCCTGGAATGGGTCCCTGAACTCTGAATATGCCTCTTGCCTGCTTGGATGGAGGCTGGAGAACAGTGTGAAAGTGTGTGTGTAGATACCAACCTACAGTACAAAGGTAAAGTTCACATTGACTGCTATGCCCACTTTTGCTTCCGGTGCTTCCCAGCACAGGAATGAGGCTCCCAGAAGGTTATCTATACAAGAATGTGGTCCTCACCCCTGATTTAGACCAAAAATACCACAGCAGGAAGCCTACCACAAACCCACTCAACTTGCGCTAGAGCAGGGTACAACTCCCATCATCCCTAGCCAGCAAGACCAGTGGTCAGGGATGATGGGAGTTGTAGTCCAAAAACAGCTGAAGACCCAAGGTTGAGGGACACTGCACAGGAGCATGGCTACTATTCATACATCCAGGAGACAAAGAGACAATCTAAGCATTAAAAAAGGACAAAGAGGTGTGATCCTTGCCAAAGTGTACCGCTTCGAGCTGCAGCTCGGATTCTCAGATGTTCTTCCATATTAAAAAAATCCCTGGACAGAAATCCGATAGGACGGAAAGAAGGTTCTCCAGTCTTGCCTTCTGCCCAGTCTATATGCAGAACGTTACCTCCGTTGGGAGAATATTTAAACATGTAATTGCCCCACCTGCAGCCCCATGTGGCACACTTCAACAAGAGATGCATCGCTAGAGTTCACTGACTGCATAGCTATGCTTTAATATATAGCGTTTGTAGCACATATTCTACACCTTTAACCTTCCTTGAATGTATTATGCACTAAAATGGAATGCAACTGCTTACCTCCAGCCAGTCAACAAACTTGGCAACATCTTCTCCCACCTCCTTTGTGTAGGCAGCAGAATCTGGATAATGTAAGCTGGATCGAGACAGCCAATCGACGACAATAACATTTGAATGGGGTTCCCTTTGATACAGAGCCTTTACCAGCTTGGGGACCCAGCTCTCGTACATGCCAATCACCTGCAAGACAGGAATATAAATCACATTATTCTGTCTCAAGCTGTCACAGGGAGCTCCCAACCAAGGAAGCAGTGTGTGAACACACAAGATTAACACAATTTTCAAAGGTTTCCAGTGTGGGAACCTAAAAGGAAAGCATGCTTGATTAGGGAATTATATCACAGCAGCATCTAAGGTATATTTTAGGGGGATGGGAATCACCGAGGACAGATTTCAGCAGTATTAGTACAGTAAGTAAGCTTTACTGTACAAGCCAAATGCCATGACAAAACCATAGAAAAGAAATATATATATATATAGCTGTAAAGGTAAAGGGGACCCCTGACCATTAGGTCCAGTCGTGACCAACTCTGGGGTTGCGGAGCTCATCTCGCTTTATTGGCCAAGGGAGCCGGCGTACAGCGTACATGCTGGTCATGTGGCCAGCATGACTAAGCCACTTCTGGCAAACCAAAGCAGCACACGGAAATGCCGTTTACCTTCCTGCCGGAGTGGTACCTATTTATCTACTTGCACTTTGACGTGCTTTCGAACTGCTAGGTTGGCAGGAGCAGGGACTGAGCAACAGGAGCGGAAATTCAAACCGCCGACCTTCTGATCGGCAAGCCCTAGGCTCTGTGGTTTAACCCACAGCGCCACCCATGTCCCATATATAGCTGTGTGTGTGTGTGTGTGTGTGTGTGTGTGTGTGTGTGTATATATATATATATATATATATATATATATATATATATATATATAAACAGCCACTGCCTGAACCATCAAAATCATAGAATGCAGATGCACACCTAGACTGGGGACTCCACACAGAACACACAATTTTCCAATTTAGACCTATTATTAGTATAGTGAACACACACAAAATTCCCTGTCACAAGATGTGGTGATCAGTTGTAGCCTAGATGGCTTTAAATAAGAATATAAAACTCTGCTCGTCTAGTCCAGCATCCTGTTCTGACAATTGCCAACCTGTTCTCTCACTGCCTGTGCAAAGCCTGCAAGCGAGACCTGAGCACAAGGTCTGCCCACCTGCAATTCCCAGCAACTGTCATTCGGAGGCATGTGGAGGCAATGGAATGGAGGCAGAACATGAAAAATCTACCTAAACAGAACTGGACACATTTACGAAGGATAAGTCTACTATTCACCATGAAAGCTAAATGGAAACCGCATGCACAGAGGCAATATATCCCTTGAATACCAGGTGCTGGAGTCAAACAAGAACAATGCCCTCGTCTTAATGCTCTGCTTGTTTAAGGACCAGGGCTAGTACTGGGAACCTTTAGTTCCATATGGGGCCCTGACAAGTGATGCAGCTTAGAACATCTTCCCAGCAATGAAGTATTCTCAAGCTCTGGGTGGCCCTGCCTTATTGGGCCCTCCTGAATCAGAAAGCCTTCCCTGTTTGGGCTGGGACACTACCTGAATAGTAAGGTCTTTCAACAATGGTGTGTTTCTTCTGTGCCTGACTTCGCCCCTTAGCCCTGACTCTCTGGCTCTTGAACCACCTCTGACAGCTGCCTACAGCTCACCCTTGACAGCTTCTTGGCTTCCAGAAGTATCTGGCTGGCCAATGGTGGAAACAGAATGATGGACTAGACCAGTGTTTCCCAACCTTGGGTCTCCAGCTGTTTTGGGACTACAATTCCCATCATCCCTTACCACTGGTCTTGCTAGCTAGGGATGATGGGAGTTGTAGTCCCAAAAACAGCTGGAGAACCAAGTTTGGGAAACCCTGCACTAGACTGGCCCTTGCTTTCTCATTGAACTCTGCTGCTCTTATTTTGCTAAAGGTTATGATACAGTTATTTTTTAAGCTTAATATTGTGTTTGCTGCAATTTACTTATAAACACATAATATGTATTTCTAAGAACAAGTCTAAAGACTTTTTAATACTAAATGGAACTCAGAAGGCTATCCGCCACCCAGAAATGTGACAAGTATTTGAAGTGGTATAGCATAGGAGAATGATACAGAAAATTCGCTAATAGACTCTATTCAAACGGCTCTGAATCAGAAAGCAACTGTGAAGCACCAGGAGATGTGCAACCCCTCTTACCGTCCATCCATGTATAACCACAAAGGTTTTACTGGTATGATTGAAGCTGCACTGCGATACACTGGTTTCCTGGCCAGGAACTATGAGGCAGGTGTCTTCATCAGGTTTCCCAGGTGTCCTTAAAGAAAATTTGCTCTCAATGCTGCTGAAGTCCCACTTTTTGTCCGTAGTGCTCCCTAATGTGAGAAAGAAACATGAAAACATTAAAATGACTTAAAAGAAAAGGAACGCCAGCAAATAATGTGATCGTTCTGCATTGCACACACAGCCTGTGTGCAGTGGCGTAGCGTGGGTTGTCAGCACCCGGGCAAGGCAAGTAATTTGCGCCCCCTGACCCGTGGATTTGCGCCCCCTAACCCGTGGATTTGCCCTAACCCCAGATGTTGCGCCCGGTGCGGCTGGCCCCCCCTGCACCCCCCACGCTACGCCACTGCCTGTGTGGCCATAGTTCTCTTGAAGGGTCTTCTTTGAGGATGGTATGGAGGGTGGTGGACCACTGTCCCCTGCCCATCCTAGGATGCTGGCAAGACCAATGCCCACAGCTATCATTGCTTTAGCAACTGTATTAGCAGCTAAAGAGGCAGATGGGCCACCCTGTTTCTGATTCCTAGCTACGATGGAATGCATCAGCATGTAAATCATTTGCCGCACAAAGAAAACACATACCATTATAATTTAAAAATTTATCACATTACCAATGGTTTTTTTTCTTAGCTCAGCCTTGCAAGTTGATTCACAAACATTAGTAACCTGTCTGCATGTGTGTGTGTACACAACACAGTTCACAAAACACAGTTTATAAAAGCTTTCCTGACTTGTGTGCCTGGCTATCTATAAACCCCACCATCATCAAATATTTTACTTTACTTGAATCAAGACATTTAGACTTCACTAGCAGCTTCCATCTTCCTCTTTAACAAAAGGGGCAGACAATATATTTTGCAGTGAAGGTTGCTTAATTTTAACATTAAACATGGTCTAATCTCAGTCCTTTGCTGAATAGGCAGCTCTTGATCTGCTTCTACCTATCAAATATTTATTCACCTTTTCATAACATAGCAAATGTTGGTACTACAGCTGCCTTGTTTATCTAACTGTGTATTCAATTCGTTGTTTCACATAAGAGTTTCACAATGTTCTGGGAACGTATTTGTGGAGTGCTGTTCAGAACTAGCAAAGCAAATGACGAAACCACAGCATCTAATATATGTGTACAAGTACAACAGAGACTTGGATTACTCTTAATTAGGCTGAGATTTTATTTTCTGCGACTCTTACAAAAACTATCATTCTATTAAATGTATCCTAGGATGTATATACACAAAAATATTGAACTGACAGGTTTTCCAACTGAAATCAGGAATGTTGAGCTGGAATTTATTTATTATTCTTATATTATTATTATTAATATACCACCCTATACCTGGGGGTCTCAGGGTGATTCAGCCCATCATATCCAAGTAGGCCAATGGTCCCTCTAACAGTTATATGTTTAATACCCAAACCTAAGCTCTAGGTGAAGAAATGCCAGCATTTTCAAAGGGTGTTTTCCCATTTAAAAGTTAAACATGCGTGTATTTGCAAAATGAGTCCAGCGCCATATTCCTTGGGTTGAAATCAGTAGGACTTTTGTCTCACTGGCTTCTGTGCATTGGTGCCAGGAAGGCTAAAAGGTGTGTGTAGTGGAAGGGAAGTAAAGGAAGCAATTAAACTCATTTATTTTTGTGGAAATTATTCTCAGACTTTGGAATCTGTGACTCTTTGGCTCCCCTGCCTCAGAAGGAAAATATTTTAGTATGGCTGGGATCACACATACCATATTGTGCATTTATTAGAACTAAATAATTTTTTAAAAAAATTCCATTTGTTTATTTTACATAATGCCTTTCAACCTGCTAGGACTCACTGCCATCTTCAGGGAGCTCCCTTTCAAGAGAAATACATTTTATTCCTTCAGTCCTAGGTGAAGAATTTTGGTTCAGGCAGGCATTCCCAGGTTTATGCTGTTTAATGGTACAGGGTTTCTTTTTTTTATGTTGACTGGTGCTAGTTCATATTACCGCTTATGGTATTTTATGACAGCTTTTGCACCTCATTGTTCTCAGTCTCAAGTACTACTCACAGTAGCCTTGCAAAACAAATGCATTGTCTCCTCAGCCTATTGCCAGTTCCTAAGTACATCTTTAGGTTTATCACAGATTGCTAAAATATTCATTTTAACCACTAAGAAAAGGAAATTCATAGTTGAGTAGGTCTTGAGCTAAGTTAAAACAAACTCTTTGCTGCTCCATTAAGTGATGAATCGACAGACTTCTGGATGGAATAAAAAGAGCCTTCAACTATACAGAATGCATACAGGAAACCCCGTAATAGACTTCTGGTCATGAAAGGTTCTTGTTCCAAACAGGAACACAAAGAAGGACACCCTGTCTGTATTTTATTTACACCTTTGCATTTCTATATTTAGCTACTCTACAACTCCAGTAAGTTCATATAATTTCATAAACACAAAACTTTTACCAGTTTATACCTAGCAAGACATCTTGGCATGAAAAGCCAAGCTTATTTCATTTGAACTGCTGCCTGCCAGCTAAGTATACATAGCATACACATATACTGCCTTTATGCAGTATATGACTGTTATTAAGATTTCTATAGCACCTTTGAAGAGCTCAAATAAATATGAACTGTCTAGACCGACTAACAGTCTATACACCCTAGAACAGAGCTTTAGAAACTGAGTCGCAACACGTTAGTGTGTCAGCTGCAGTGTGCAGGTGTGTTGCGTGAACACTCCCCGCGCTCCTTCCGGGGTTGGTGGAAAGGGGTTAGTTTAACCTCCAGTTTTCTAGTAAAACTGAATTACAGTACTGTGTTGCGAAATGATGCATGTCTAAAAAGTGTGTCACCCACACGAGAAGTTCGGAAAGCTCTGCCCTAGAATCACAGAATTCACCAAGCAAGTAAAGGTTAGTGGGAATGTTTTTCCTATCTCCGAAGTACAATTACCGTAGTTATGGTAGGAATGCTAGCTAAAGGGTAAAGTGACCCCTGACCATTAGGTCCAGTCATGACCGACTCTGGGGTTGTGGCGCTCATCTCGCTTTATTGGCTGAGCATACAACTTCCGGGTCATGTGGCCAGCATGAATAAGCTGCTTCTGGCGAACCAGAGCAGCACACGGAAATGCTGTTTACCTTACTGCCAAAGTGGTACCTATTTATCTACTTGCACTTTGGCGTGCTTTCGAACTGCTAGGTTGGCAGGAGCAGGGACTGAGCAACGGGAGCTCACCCCGTCGCGGGGATTCGAACCACCAACCTTCTGATCAGCAAGTCCTAGGCTCTGTGGTTTAACCCACAGCGCCACCCGCATCCCTAGTAGGAATGCTAGTAACCATCAAAAGCAGGGTTAACCACCAAAAGCAGGATGCAACACTAACACATCACTTGCATTAGAATCATTATTTTATTGCTGCAATTTGTAATGCCAGCCATCTGGAGGCCCAATCAAAACCTCCAATCAGGGAGGGAGTTAATGTTTTCCAATGAGCCCCACACTTTCCACCTGATGCTGTTATTAATCCCAGGAGAGAAGCTTCATTAGCCACTAAAAATGAAAAGAAGGCTGCTAGTTTAAAATCTGGGAAAGAGTATTCTCTATAAAACACTGCAACCACCATTCATATCAGCTGAGCACAGAAGGAGAGCATTTCTTGAACTTTGTGCACAAAACTGCTGCAATTTACATGAACAACAATACTCAAAATTTGCAACTACTGTATCAGCTTTTACACAAACTGTATTCCGGAAACAACTGCTACAGATAAGCTGGCAATTCAGCTGTTAACTGACCAATGTTTTGTTAAGTTATTGGTCACAAACTTTCTATAATTCTACAATTCACAATAAAATGAAGCTTTGCCAAGTTCCTTTCAAGTAGTTATTATTTTCCCTGTTATGGAAATAGGGAAAATATGTATTAAATAAGCTACATTATTAACTTAACTTCCTGCAGCGCAACTCACTGACTTTATGATCTAACACGCTAGGAAGGACACAAAAAAGATGCTGTGATCAATGGCTGGCAAGTGGTATGTTGTAAACAGCTTCACTGATTAGGAACAAAAGCCCACCGACTGACACCCGATGGTGAACCAGAGGCCAAGCCTAATCTTTGAGAAATGGGTGTTTAACTTGGTTGCAAGTGAGGTATTTTGCAAGGGGGATTAAGAAAATATTTGGGGGTTTTCCTACTTGACTAAAGAGTTCTCCTTGTCATTCTTTTCATTTTCTGCATTTTAGCTATGTATGCTTTCAGAGCACAGCACAGAATTTCAAGCTGATGCTGTCAGTGGCGTAGCGTGGGGGGTGCAGGGGGGGCCGGCCGCACCGGGCGCAACATCTGGGGTTAGGGCAAATCCACAGGTTAGGGGGCGCAAATCCACGGGTTAGGGGGCGCAAATTACTTGCCTTGCCCCGGGTGCTGACAACCCACGCTACGCCACTGGATGCTGTATGGTCCTGTTCTGCCCAGTTTAGACTGGTGGCCTAAACTTTTGCTGGTGGAGTACACAGGACTTAACAGTACAGTGGTACCTCGGTTTAAGAACAGTCCAGTTTAAGTACGATTTGGTTTACAATCTCCACAAAACCGGAAACAGTGTCCCAGTTTGAGAACTTTACCTTGGTCTAAGAATGGAATCTGAGTGGTGGAAGGGCACCGGCGACAGGAGGCCTCATAAGGGAAAGCGAGCCTCGGTTTAAGAACAGTTTTGGTTTAAGAACGGACTTCCAGAACTGATTAAGTTCATAAACAGAGGCATGGCCAAATGTCTGCTGCCCGCAATGTCCTCTAGATCTACAATGCTGGTCGATTATGCTGGCCTCCCAGCTGGCAGTGGTACAGCACAGGTATGCTTGCACTGCGTTTGAATCCATTGTAGTAACTTCTGGAATGGAACTGCCACCTTACACATGCAAAATAAATGTGAATGGTCCCCCCCCCCCAATATAAATAAAGAAGCCTGAGCAGGACATGCATGCTAGTGTTATTCACAGAGCAGCATGAGACAGAAACTCTGAAAGAATCCACATGTGCTCAAATTATTGCCCACTTCACATGCCATGGTAAGTCAGAATTTGGTTTGCCATTACCATGCAAACATGCTGCCCAGGATCATGGTTAAAGGATCTCCTTCCCTACAACCTGTTAAACAAGCACGCAAGCAAGCAAACTGTAAAATGAACCTTGACTTCAGAATATGTGAAGCTAGGGAAGGCAGAACTTGCTGTTTCTACCCATCACAAATCTGTTAAAAGCACATGAGTCCTGCCATTTTGCACATGCAGCCATAAGACTGGAATAATGCAACATGAAAATGGAATGTGGTCACAGGGTGACTAATCTGTAATATGTAGGCCTGAATGCTGAACACTAACGTACCAGATGGTAACTTGTTACCTACAGTCGTGAAAGGTGCTTCTAAAAAGCAACAAATAGGTGCTTTTTCTGGACAAGCAACTCTGGACTTTCAACAACTGTAGCAACTCCTACTAATGCTTTTAAATTATAACAACAACAACATCCCCAAGGAGCCCAGTGGGGTGGTGGTTGTTAGCGAAAGTACTTTACTAGGAGCATAGATACCAGAAAACAAGGGCTACATCTTACAGATAGAAAACATGCAGTGTGCACAGTGTAATTAGAGAAGCCCTCTGGTAACACTTTGCCAAGTTTTGTGTGGGTTGTGTGAGGGGTGGAAGGGAGAATTTTAGCCACTGTCCATCTATCTCCCTTGAACTGCAAATCTGGTGTACAGCCAGTCTCTCTTCCATCCTTTCAGCTTTCTTCCCAGCTCTCTAAGGGTTGCATCTGGAGATTGGGGTGTGTGTGGCTATATTGGCCTCCAAAAGGCACAAGAACATAAATGCGCGTGCATGAGGATTAGACGACTGACTTCCAGCGCACCCTGTGGAGACCAAAACACCCGCGAAACAGCGCTTTTCCCTTCCCTTCTCTCTCTGGTTACTACACAACTTTCCACAGGCACTTCCTCCCCCCTCCCTCCCTTGAGTGTCGCTTTCATTTTCCAGGGAGCATCCCAGCCAGGCTTTCCCCGGCACGGAAGCTGGAGCCGAAGCCGCAGCCGCTCTCCCTCCGCGCGATCCCTCCCTCCTTCCCCGCCTGCACCGGCTCCCAGAAGCCCTTGAACCAGGGTGACCTTGGCCCACGTTCCAGGCATTCCTGGGCTCGCGAGCGGAGGAGTTACTAGCGGTCACCAGCAGCAGCCGTCAGCCGGCGGGCCCCTTCCCCGCCCAGCACACTCCTCCGGAGCGCGCGGGTGCCGGAGGAGAGCCGCCCTGCCCACTCCTGACGCGGCGGCGCCGCTGACACGAGGAAGGGCGGCGGGCAGCAACAAGGAAGCGCGCAAAAGCAGCCGAGGGGCGGGAAGGAAGCTCGCGCCTCGCAGCGTGCGCGCCCCGAGCCCCAGAACCTGCGCCTCCCCGACGCGCACGCCGAGCCCCGCAAACCCTTCGCCTCAGCGCGCCTTTCCTTTTCGGCTCAAGTTCCGCAGGGCGTCGAGCTGCGGCATCGTAACCCCGTCAAGCGTTCCCAAACTTCTTTATGTATCCCAACCCGCCGCCGCTGCCGCCACTTCCATTCCTTTCACCCTTCTTCCCCTCTCTCCCTTCCGCGGCGCCTCACATTTCCCCGCCAATACGCACAAAACTGCCGCGCCAATGGTCCAACCCTTCTCTTAAGGGCGCCTCATCACCGAGAAGCCCTAGCGGGCGGGGCAGGTTCGCCACCAAACGGCACACCTGCTTCTTCCACAGTCCCGGGCAAAAACTGAAGTCGCCTCATCCCGCGCGCGCCGGACGCGTGGCTGGATTGCTTGCGGAAACGCGGACTGTGCCACAAGCCCATACAGGGTCCTCCGCGCTTCTGCGCATACCTTTCCCAGGTATGAACTTCCCCGAACACCCCCCCTCCCCGCTTGACACTTGGCACCGTCCCGGGATGCCGGAGGCGCCCAGGCACTCAAACTTGGGAGCCAAGTCCCCTGACGTCGGCGCGCATTACTTCCGAGTGAGCTCGCCCTGTCAGCCGCCCTTCCAGACCCAGCGCGAAAATTGGCGCCCGCTTCTGACTGACCAGCGCCCTTATCGTCGCGCTCCAGACGTCCGCTTGTCCTCCTCCCGCCCTCTCCGCCCCTCAGCCGCCTCCGCGGGTTCCCTTCCACTCCGCCCGCTCGACGCGTCTACCTGCTACTACTGCTCGCCTTCCCGCCACCCCAAAGCCAGCGCGGGCGCCGCGCAACGCTCCTTCTCTCCCGCCAACCGCAGCCAGGTTCGCTTCGCAGAGCGCTCGCTGGTCGCGTGGCCGCCTCGCTCTCTGGGCTGCGGACGGGTCTGCACTTACTTGGGACCGAGGTGGTGCTGGTGGCGGGCGGAGGCGTTGCTGCTGCTGGGGGCGCCGGGCTGGGAGGCGAGAGCGACGAGGCACAGGGCTGCCAGCAGCGCGCGCCTGTCCATCGCTCCGGAGACCGGGCTAGCAGAGGCCGGGTAGAAGCTCCGCGAGCGCAAGGTGGCGGGCGGCGTCCGTGCGGGAAAGTTTCCCCTCAAGTCGTGCCGTGCGGAGGCGGGGAGGGTTCGGAGGGCGCCCTCGGAATGGCACGAAAGCAAGATACTCGCGCTTGCCCCCCACCCCGCCCAAGCCGGCGCTTTATAGAAATATGCAAATGAAGCTCGGCACCTATTGGTTCGAGGAGGGGAGGAGGGGCCCGACCCCTTGGCTGCGCGAAGCGCGCGAGGCAGGCTCCGCTCAAACAGTTCTGCAAGGCTCGCTTCCTTTTGGCGCAGCTGGAGTTGCTCGGAGCCGAGAAGGCAGTGGGCGGAGGAATGCCTTGCAAGCCCCAAACTTAAAGGACGAGGGGCTGCAAAGGCGCGGAAGGAAACCACTGGCGAATTGAATTAAGATGCTCAAGTGTCTCCCCGTCCGCGAAGTCGCGACGTGGATATAGGAAAAATCCTTGCTAAATCAGACATGATGGGGGAGATTCATGAGCGGGACCAGGCGGACTGGTTTGGTTTCCCACCTGGTATCTCCTCCCCAAAGCTACTATACTTTCATCAACACCTGCGCATGCCAAAGTGGAATCCCACTGTGTTCAGGACAGGGGAACTTCTGTCTGGGGGAGTTTTGCGCAGGGTTGCAGCCTTAGTCCCGCAAAGGTGGGGCGGGGCAGATGCAATACCTGCATCGATCGGACTCACACTGCACATGACAGAAGTTGCTGTTAGGGGCAAGGATTTCTAATGCAGTCCCAATTGCTAACCAATACAAAAATGAGCCCCCCCCCCAAGAAAACCCCACCCTCTGCTGAAATGAAGAAAAATGGAGATGAATTTTCTTTTGTTAAGAAAGGGGCAGGAAATCTCTTTTCTGTTCTGGTACTTCAATCAAATTATGGAGCTCAGAATTCTGTAAATGTGCATCTTGAAATCTGCCCACTCACCTCCGACTTAAATGACTTTTTAAAATGCTTGCTTGCTTTGTTATCAGCAGTCAGCCAGACTACAACCTCGGACAGAAAACTTGCATTTAGGTAGAACTAACTTTGGATATAGTGCATTGCATTTAAACTTCTAAAAAAATATGCAGTTACACACACATAGAGTATGCAATGGGAAAATATACAGGTGTTGGGTATTTAAATGAAAAAGCATCAAATGTGTGCTCCAGATGGTCTGGGAAAATGCACCTTAAAGATAAAGGGCAATATCCATCCAGAATTTCTCCTGCACATGTCCCACATGAAAGTAGATTTATTTCAATTGGCTTTTGCAGGAGAGTTTCCTGAGGTATTGTGCCCAAAATTCATTGGTAAGATGTTCCAGAGTTTGCAAAGGTTGCCTCAGTCTCTTGGTTTCTGGGAATCATAAGTGGGCAGAGTGCTGTTGCATCTAGTCAGCCCCTGTGAAAGCAGGATGCTAGGCTAGTTGGCCCATTGGTCTGATCCAGCAGGCTCATCTGATTTTCTAATGTTCTCCTGTTTCGCAATTTGGAACATGCAGAGTCCTCCCTGCCTCCCCTGCCCTGCCCAATGAATATCACAAACCTTCCTGAACTTCTCTCACATTCTTCCTTGTAAGTTTTTTTTCCTGAACAGAGGCCTCCAAACTTGCTCCAGAATTTTCACTATCACTACAGCCAAAATGCACTGGTAACCTTAGTCCCAGGACTTTGCAACTTTACTAAATGCATGGAGAGTTTCTTCACCAATTGATTAAATCTTTATTACGGTCATAGACCAGCATAAGTAGGGTGGGGTACAGTAATTTAGAATCTGTAAAACATTTCGGAAGGCTAAAAAGTATTAAAACAGAAGGTGTATCTAAAAGACTATAAGAATCTAAAAGAAGGGTTGGGAACATTAAATGGATATGGAAGAGCATAAAAGGTTAGTATATAAAAGACTACAACTATCAGTTTAGAAAGCACCCTGATGTGAGTGTTCATTAAATCTAGTTTGTGGCACAGGTCGTCATCATCTGACGAATTTTGAATGCTGCTGTGCAGAATCTGGCAACACTATGTTGTAGCAGGATTGGTATCTGACAGCAGCAGGGAGGTATAAAATTGTCCTGTGCACCCTGGGTACTTATGGAGTAGTGGGGAGGTGAGGCTAATATGAATGTCTCTGTCAGGCATCCCCAAACTTGGCCCTCCAGCTGTTTTGGAATTACAGTTCCCATCATCCCTGACCACTGGTCCTGTTAGCTAGGGATGATAGGAGTTGTAGTCCCAAAACAGCTGGAGGGCCAAGTTTGGGGGTGCCTGGTCTCTATAGTATAAGCACTGGAGAAGCACATGCTCTATTGCTTCTATTTGTCCAGTCACCAAGCTCTACACTCCTGAGAAGACAAGTAAGAGAGAGAAAACACACAGTTTGACCCCGCCCCCCAAAAAAAGCTGCATTCATATTTTTCTTGGGCATGCAATTGAATTGTTTTAGTAAAAGCTAAAATTCTAGTTGGTTAGCGACTCTTTTGTCTCCCTGCTTTTATCCTGGCTTGCTCTGATAACTATTGTATCTTGTTCTTATAACTATTGTATTTTTGGCCATTTTAAAATTGCTGGTCTGTGACCACAATAAACTGGTTGCCTTTGCCATACTGCCTTTGCTGACTTCTCTATGGGCACCTGCTTTTGCAAGGGGTTGGACTAGATGGCCCTTGAGGGACCCCTTTGAGCCCTACGATTCTGTGATCCAACCTTAGTTAAGCACTTTGAAATATCACTGGTGTCAGTGGGAGAGTTAAGTTGAAGATCTAATAATGTTTAGCACATTAAGGCTACGTACTTCGCTGAGGATTTGAGGCTCAAAGCCAGCTAACATTGGACTGAGCATATTTAGGCCATGGCACAAAACACTTCTCAACCTGATTACAATTATCTGCAGCTGGAAGAAAACTCTCAGAATTTTCCAAAGAGTCGCAGAGCCAGGACTGAGCAAGCCTCCTAGAGTAATACGATACACATTGCGTTAGCTAGATTTTCATATAAACTAGTTGGGAAATGATTGATTCTGCTTAGCTCACTTGCTCAAGGAATGTGTATGTTTACAGACCCAGCCACAATAAGAGATACATGCCCTGCAGCTGACTGGGTGGCCTTCTCAAGACATCAGTGCTTGCCCTAATCTACTTTGCAAGGTTGTTGTGAAGATAAAATGGAAACCGTCCTGTCTTAAATACCTTAAAAGGAGACCGGAACACATAGCAGATAGCTAGGCAGACAGGCATATTGACCTGTTTTAATTAATCCAATGTATTACATATGTATTTGCATCGACCAGGGCCAGAGCCTTTTCAGCCCTGGCCCCAGTCTGGTGGAACGCTCTGTCACAAGAGACCAGGGCCCTGAGGGATTTGACATCTTTCTGCAGGGCCTGAAAGACGGAGCTGTTCTGCCAGGCCTTTGGTCCGGGCCCAGTCTGACCCCCTTCTTTCTATGGGACCCTGTATGTAAGTGGCCTCCTTGGCTCTTTCTATTGGCCCATATGGGACCAGCACAGTCCGAGCACAGTTCAAAGTGTTGGTGCTGACCTTTACAGACCTAAACAGCCTTGGCCCAGTATACCTGAAGGAGCATCTCCACCCCCATTGTTCTGCCCAGACACTGAGGTCCAGCGCCAAGGCCCTTCTGGTGGTTCCCTCACTGCGAGAAGCCAAGTTACAGGGAACCAGGCATTCTCGGCAGTGGCACCCGCCCTGTGGAATGCCCTCCCATCAGATGTCAAGGAAATAAACAACTGCCTGACTTTTAGAAGACATCTGAAGGCAGCCCTGTTTAGGGAAGTTTTTAATGTTTGATGTTTTGTCACATTATTATTATTAATAATATTCTCTTGGGAGCCACCCAGAGTGGCTGGGAAAACCCAGCCAGGTGGGTGGGGTATAATTAATTAATTAATTAATTAATTAATTAATTAACAATTTCACACACCCAGCAATAGAGAAACCAACAAGGGCAGGAAAAGAATATTTGGGGTTGTGATAATTGAGACAAGAGAGATAAAGTTTTGGCACCGGAAAAGCGAATAGGGTTCTTGTTGCGGTATGACCCTTGGTGACCTATTTCTTTGTTTGCATTATAGGCTGTCCAAATTACTCCGTGGTGGATCCTGGTTAAATTAGTTGAATGTAGGTCCCATTGAAATAAGTGGGTCAAGTCAGTCATGGTTTAACATCAGTCCCATTGATTTCAGTGTCTGGGAAGTTGTCTACTTTTTATATCTCTCTCTTCAAATCTCTACCAGGTAGAATAGTGGCTCTCTGGTCTAGTCCTTCAGATGCCCTTAACTCTCTCTCTTT